AAGATGCCCAAATGAGGCTTGGCGTTCGACGGGCGAAGGATCTCGAGATTTAAGAGATCGGGGAGACAGTAGCAGTTCGAAGCGAGCACAAGCGGCTGATACCTGGCGTTCAACAAATGCACATTCTGAGACTGGAAGGCAACAAGGAGTCGCTGGCACTTGGAAAAGAACACTTCCGCCACGTTCAACAGGTGAACGATCTGAAACTGGGAAACAGCCAGGAAACAGTGGTACCTGGAAGCAAACACAACCGAATGACACATGGCGTTCAAAAGACGAAAGATCTCGAAATATAACACGCCAGGAAAGCAATAGTGCATCGAAACGAACACATTCGAGTAGCGCCTGGCGTTCAACAAACAGGGGAACTCAGGACGTAACAGATCAAGAAGTCAAAGACAGACAGAAATGCACACACTCGAACGACGCTTCTTGTTCCGAGCCAAAAGTAGTTTTTATGCATTTTTGCTGTATAACAGCAGTACAAAACGCATATTGTCACGGGGTTGTCTGTGTGTGTGTGTGTGTGTGTTTGTGTGTGTCCCACATTTTGTCTCGCACTTTCAGCTCTGGAACTACAAAAGCTAGGCGGTTAAAATTTTGGTATAGTGTTCTCCCCAACGGATGACGCGGCAAATTTAAATTCAGCCTTCCCGTACCCGCGGGTAATGCGTACGCCCCGTGAAAGTTTTTTACGGATATCTCGGGAACTACGGAGTCTAAGAGGCTGAAATTTTAGGGGAATGACCCCCCGCTCACGCTCAACCTTGTCCATTCAAATTCAGCCTTCCAGTACCCGCGGGCAACTCGTACGGCCCTGTAAAAATTTTTTACGGGTAGACTAATATCTCAGGAACCACGGGGTCTAGGAAGCTGAAATTTTAGGGTAATAACTTCTTGCCTACGCTCACCTTGCCTGTTCAAATTCATCGTTTCCTCGTTGTTGAGTATCACCTACGCCTAATGGGGATTTTGGCGGTTAAACGGAAAGATATTCATCCTTCAAGTTTTCGAATTCAGCTTTCATGCGCTGGTGCGTGAAATTTTTAACCATTTTTCAATGTTTCAACTATTTTTGCTGGACCAAAGTGCAAAGCAGTGTAAATTATTAATAGGCAATCGTTCGGTGGGCTGATTTGCACAAAACACATGATCGCACCGGCTAGTCTGGTGTGCTTGCTATTTATTTTTATTAGCTTGATGCAGTGATACCGAATTTTTCACTGTCACGGTTTTAAATAAAAACACGGCTTAATGCTTGTCATATTTGGAGGTTTCACATTTGTGTGTGGTACTCATGAGGAGGTGAATGACCACTTGGATTGCCTCCGGACGGGCGTACCTTGAATGAGCTGTGGGTACTAAAACTTAGGACTTCAAATAACTGAGAGCATCCCAGCAACAACACTGACTTAGGATACCAACAGTGATTTCCTGAGCAGCTTTGGGTTTTTTTTTAGCATAAGCAACCGCAAACAGACGCAGTTAACGGTGGTATCCTGCCGACAAGCACTTTTTCGGGTTGGCACTTCTAAAGCTTCACTGTTATTGGACCTCAGTTTTAGTGGCATTTAGAGCAAAAATTCATTGAATATTACATTATGAATTTTCAAAATGATGGATTATTTTTTTGCGCCTTGTTTTAATTAGTAATCCTTTGTATCTCTGTACGTATTTGCTTTCAGATTTGCCGGGTAAGTCTCGTGTATCTTATGTATCATGAAATTTTTTTGCTTGTAACATTCACCAATGCATTTGCGTATGTCCTACATTAACGAATATTAATAATTTGTTCGACCTTTAGGCTTCGAATACAAGTGAAGAAAGATATCCCGTCACAAGGAGGACTTGTTCACCAAATGCAAGTTGCGCAACTCTGCAAGATGATGGCGAAGGTTCACAGCGGAAGGAGCAGGAAGTTCCGAAAAAAACCAAGAAAAAGCGAAAAAAAAGGAAGCGCGAAGCATCGGGCAGTGGAGAAAGCGATTCTCAACAGCGTCCGTTTCTGTCTTTGTTTCTCATAATTTTGGTATTCTTGTTCCCTAAAGATTTTGAGTTTTCCCCATTCCCTGAATAATTTCTTCGTCTGATTTTCTTAAAATTGCACTAACTGCAGAATCTAACGTCAGAATTTTTCAGTAGCTAAAGGGGAGGTGCCCAATTGGCAGAAGCTGACTGCAGAGGACATTGATGATATGTTACCGAGTGACAGTGATGATGAAGTGGAGAACACGGCCGAGCAGACCGCTGATGCCATCGTTCACCCTTCTTCACGCAGCATTCCTGCTTATAACTTCTATTTTACGGTATTTTTTATGTATTTTTTGATGTGCCTCTTCAGCATTTGTTTTTCATCGTTTTATCATAGACGAAGTTTCGCAATTTCGAAATAGCTAGCCGTTTTTCCATGGCTTATGTTGCAGAAGCTCCTCTGATCTTCGTTCCTCTGCTTTGTCCTTCATCCTTCTTTTGATTTAGGCGACAAGAGGATGGGAAAACTAGCGGATTCCTTCCCACGCCGGCCCCTTATCATTGTCCCGTACCTTCTTTCCCCCTTCCCTTCTCTTCCTTAGTGAGTATTATCATATTTTTAACAAGTTTATCATGCTGTTGAGATTTGCACCATTGTATTTTGAATGGGATTGTTCCTTTTGTTTAAGCGTAATTTAGTAAATGCATAGCTCAATGCATCGGAGGTTCGGAAGGATCAAAAATTCCGAATGGGAATTTGCTCGAAATTGTGTTGGAACAGGGTGCGAATGCATATTACAAAACACGTTTCATGTTTTGTTCCTTGTAAAAGGTATTAATATTAGCAAATACCTCGGGCAATTAAAATGTGCCAACAGCAACCACTCGCTGGTAAATCTACCTGTAGGTTGTTTTCGGCGGGCTATTTAAAAGCAAGCTGATGACGACTTTGATTGACCAATGCGCTATAGTATCAATATATCTTTGAAACAGAATCGAACAGAAGATGAATTAGACCACCTGCGCAATCTCCTATTCTTTCCTGTCCTCCTTCCCTCTAATGCTCTTCTCTTACTTTGCATGCATGTTATCAACTTTTCCAAATGGTGGATTGGGGGCTGCACTGACGATTCCCACCACAATCCACACCGAATACTGTCTATGTTTGCAGCTTAGGGATGAAACACAAACAGCCAATTCACATTTGGCTTCCCTGCATGTCCACATTACATCTCCTGAACATTTTTTTAAAACATATGCTCTCCACTATCTATTTCACTTCTTGATTTCGAGCTCTTACTGGTAAAATTGAGTCGTTGATTTACATTTTGAAGCAGGCATTTCCCGCAATAATTACCGTTGTTCGATTCTTGTAGAATGATGATGGCGTTCAGTGTGCAACAGATGAGCTGAAACAGTTGCACGAAAGATTCGAAAGAGTGGTACTGGAGAGAATTGCAAAACAGAAGAGCAGCCAGCCGAAATCTGATCCTCCGGAAACACCAGCTTTTCACGATAACTGCAAATGTTAGACATTGAATGCGTTGAAATAGTCAAATTTTGTTTTTTATTTGATATTTTTTTGAGGAATAACCCCTGCCATTCCTTGCAAATACTTCTTTCGAGAAAACGGGTGAGCTATTAATCCATGCAGAAGGCGGTATTATCGCCATCACTGCCAGCAGTTTGGGGGCCAGAAGATTAACCATTCGATTAAGTAACTGAAAAAAGTTGCCAGCTGAATAGTTAGAAAGCAAAATATTAATTGTAACTGATTTGGGGGCCCCAAGAAGCTTTTTAATCCTTACCAGTGGAGGGTGATCTGGCATTTTTACCTGGAAAAATAACGAAAACAAAGAACTGAAATCCAGAAGTTTCTTAAGCCATTGATTATTTAGTGTTGCAGTTTTGGTTATTTAACCGATTGGGACAGAGGGGGGAGGGGGGAGGGGAAGTGGGGGGAGGAGGGGAAACGGGGAGGAGAGGGGTGCCAGTTGCGTTTTTTAGCGAAAAAATGCTCAAAGCTAAGAAGTCGGCTAACCAATGATCAGATTAAATTCTGGCGACGTTCACTGAAATATTTTGAATATTTCAGGCGGCCATCACTCGGACACTGAAACTGAATCAGAGGATGAGCAATCCGAGGAGGGCGAGAGTGATTCGAACAGTGGTTCGGCAGATAACCCGGCTGATGGTAAAGATACCGCTCCCGATTATTTGGCAATGAGCGAAACCGTGAAACATAGTACACTTGCCAAAAGAGAGGTTTGATTTGTTCAGCAGTTTTTTATTCGATTTTTTGCTAAATTTTATGAGGGGATTGCTTTTTGGAAAGTTTTCGTTTAGAGATTCTGTATCCTTGTCGAAAAAGCTGGAGATAGGTACCTTGCTCACCTCATTTTTCTAAATTTGAGGGAATTTTCTGTAAATTTTTCGTCAGGCTAACCTAACTTACCACTTTTTAAAGGCATTCAGCAATCTCCTGTTAATTTTACTGTTTTTTTTTTTGGTTAAATTTTGCATTTTGTAAGCAAGTTTTTATCGTTAACTGCATTTTGCAAGCTTTTTGCTCCTAGCAAGTTGATAATTTTTGAATCGATTTGGTCCATGTTTTAACTGTTATGGCTCCGTTCTCACCTGGATGATTTTAACACCTTTTTGAAGTTTTCATCTTTCCCTTCGTGGACTTGCAGCATCCTGAACATGATACTGTGATTGGGTCTTTTCAGCCAGTTGGGTGTTTTTGCAGATTTTCCGAAAAAAGAACCATCCGGCTGCTTTGCATCACGATCTTTGTTTCAATGAAGCGGGCCAGATGAATGATGGACCCGAATGCCGCTGTTCTTGGGCAGCAAAACAGTTCGGTGTGCGTCATAGTAAATATGCTGGAGAAGTGGTATTTGATAAGTGTGAGCCGTTGACTAGGTTAGCTGTCTTTCGCTTGTTCTCTTTCACATATTTACAGCAGTTTGTTATACGTTTTTACTTATATGCAAATGCAAAAACGCATATTGTGACGACCGCGGTGTATGTGTGCGTGCGTCTGCCCGGATATTTCAACTCGACAACCAAGCAAGCTCCGGCACTAAAACTTTGCCAATGGGTTCCCCTGCCAAGTGCCACCCAAGGGCCGTGATACCAGCCTTCACGCAAGTCTGGGCCCAGCGTATGAGAGGGTGAAAATTTTGGCAGAAAAATCGCTAACTCGGGAATCAGAAAAGTTAGAAAGTCGAAATTTTGAAGTTATATTCCTCGTCCACATAGAACTCAAAGATTTCAAAATCAGCCCCCAGGCCACGTGTAGCCCCGTGAAAGTTTTGGCGGAAAAATTGCTAACAAGAGAATCACAAAAGTTGGAAAATTGAAATTTTAACGAAATATCCCCTGTCCAAGTACCATGTAATTGCACAATTAACTTCCCGAACTTCGAGGACCAGAATGTCACAAATCCTAGCTACGGGTTTTCCGAGCGATCTTACTGCAACACGAAATTTTGCTGTTCACGTAACGTTTCAGTAATTCTCAGCGTTTGTGGCATTACATATTGTACACGAATCCGAATCCCAGTACCGTTCTACGCCGTTCAACAAAGATTCCATACGACAACAAAACGTATCAGCTAGAAGGATTTTCTCTTTTCTTTCACAAACCGCTACCAGCCAATTTTCCGCAAAATCCCCTGTCGAAATGGGCCAGCGAATACCAAATTCAGTTTGTGCAAGCAGCCGTGCCAGAGGTGTGGTTTTTTTTTTTATAGATTCTACGTGACGATCATCGTTCTTTGTTTGTTGTCATCATTAACATCATTTGTCATGGCTTTTATCGTTATCCGTAGCCTCAACCTCAGCATTGCTACCTCACCATTATTATCAACTAAAATGAGTATTTATACTTCCAGTTCTTTTATTCGCCATCCAACAAATATCGCAAGAACAAGATGCCTAGGGTTTAACTTCGCTAGCGGGGCAATTATTCATGTATATATATATGTATATTTATTTACTTATTTATTTATTCCCACCCCACTCCGCACCGATTCTGCTGCCTTTGTTTACAGCTCAGGGATGAAACACAGACAGGATACCAGCTCAAGGTACGTACAGGCTAGCTCATCTGGGAGATATAAAGGGCACTTCTAGTTTTTCCACAACTATCAAAATTCGACTGTATTCTCAACGGTGGGCCAACAACGTCAAACAAACTGCGTATGTTAACACGTAGAAAACTTCAGGCCCCCGTCTTCTTCCAGTCCCCCAGCAAAGGATATTCATTGTTTACATCTTTAAAATTTTTGAACATTTTTATACATAAGATCTGTTCATTTATTTCTATGCTGAACAGTACCAGCATTTGCCAAGCAGTCAAACCCGCCATCAGCTTGCTATTAAGGAACCATCACAAAAGAAGATATCAGAAGGTTTTTAAGCGGATGAAAACAGACTAATTCCTTTTATCTCCATCCCCTTTTGGGGTAAACATGGGTGTTTAGCTTTGATTTTGACTTTGGATTAATATTGAAGATTTCATTGCAATATTTTTAGAATTTCACTGTAAAAGATTTGGAACTGTTTCACGATTATTTATTTACTGAAATCATGGAAATGTACGATCTGAAAAGATATCCGTTGGACAACACCGATGGATGCCCCTACTATCATTGCATGCCGAGATTTGTCTGTAACGTGTCAGGTGATTTTTTTTTTGTCTGTATCAGTGACTTCTGTAACAATGATTCTACTTTTTCTCACAAAATCGGTGAAAAGAACGACGTTAAAAACTGCTTTTTTGATCTTACAGAGAGGATGTAGTGAAAGTCTTTAACTCAAGATCTTCGTATATTCAGTGGTCTTACAAAGAGGATGTGGTCTTTCAGCCTCCCAGCTTTTCTGGTTCCTGAGTTAACGATTTTCCTCACCAAAAACTTTCGTGGGACCGTATGTAGGAACCACGCTTACGGAGAGACTGGTCTTGAAATATTCAAGTTATACTTGGACTGGGAACATTCCCTTAAACTTTCAACCTCCCAGTTTTCCTCGTTCCCGAGTTAGCCATTTTCCCGTCAAAAACTTTCTGTAATTTTTTTATCTGTAATTGTCTGCGATGTGTCAATGATATCTATAACAGTGATTTTTATTCTCACGAAATCGGTGAAAAAAAAAACGACGTTAAAAACTGCTTGGTTGATCTTATAAAAAGAGTGTGGTAAAAGGATCTACATTAACCTACACCAGAAACAGCTATTAGTTCATATTCTGCTTTTTTTTTTGCATTTGTGCAGATAGCAGCTTTTTCGGTTGCTTTGACCACTGCTACATCGTCCATCTGCTTTGGCCAAGCTGCATCCGCCTATTGCTGGCAGTTCTGGCGTTCGTTTCGTTTCCTGAGCGAATTGCCAGCCCAGTGACAATACTGACTGCCTAAACTGTTTCAGAAAACGAGAACGAAATGCTGCCTATGTCAGTGGTGCTGAACTTCTTGATTGATAATTTTCGTCATTTCGTGACTGAAACGGAAGCAAGAACTCTGAAAAACGACAATGCCGCGTTTGAATATTTTGCTGAAAGAACGCGTGGTAGTTTGGTGATGAATGCGAACAAGGTGAGTAAATCGTTTAAAATATCTGAGAAAGAGCAGGCAAAAGGCAGAAGCAAGGTAAAACTTACATTTTATGTAGAGCATCGAAAAATTTCACTTTGATTTTTTCATGTCTTTAAAAAAAAATTTGTCTTCAGAATTATTCTGTTCAGAGGTATTCGAAAAAGTTATGTTTTCAAAAAAAAAATTATTTTTTTGATATCTTAAAAGAATTCTTGCAACTGATCCATCAAGCTGCAGTCTTCTTCATTTGCCTTTCTTTTGCTCATGTTGCCCCTGTATAATTTCGTGTAGATGTTCAAGTGTATCCGCATCGCCATCTTTTCAACTCAAGAAAAACTGGGTGTAGTGATATGGCGTTAATAATAGAGAAATAGTAGCCAGCGCACCAACTGCCGGTGCGAAGATCCGTTTTTTGCACAGTTTCCCGCAGATTTCTGTCGTTAACGGCACTTTTTTTTCCGGCGGATGCTTCTGGCTAGAAGATTTGTGACTGGCCAGCACGACTCTAAGAAAACATACCCTTAAAATTTCAGCTTTCTGGTTTTTTTGGTTACCGAATTAGCAACCTACCCGCCAAAAACTTTCACCGGCCCGTACGCGGGAACCACGTGGGCAGTAGTGTCCGTTTTGGAGATCGGGGCCCGTGCATGCATGTAGATTAAGTTCCCAAATTTTCAGCCTTGTAGCTTTTGTTGGTTTCGAGATGAAAAATTGATACAGACGCACAGACACAGACACGCACACAGATAACCTCTCAACAATATGCGCCTTTTGCATTGCATAGATACAAAAGACGCATGAAAATGGAACAGCCAAAACAGTTAAGTGGTTAT